AAGGTCGGAGCCTCCACACCCTATTCCAGCATGAGCCATCAAGTTTAAAAGAGACCCTGCCCTGACACCTGCGACTGGAATACAATAAAGAGCAGCCTTCCCAGAGCCCAGCGGAGATCAGGGCTCCATCCTGCCCAGAGCTGTACCCATCCCTGGGAAGAGCAGCACCTGCATCAGAGAGCTTACACCCTGGCTAAAAGGTGGGAGAAGAGATGGGGACCCTTGCTTCAGAGCTGAGGAACAGAGATAGGCGTAATTAAGCTTGTACCGGGAGCGGAACGTGTGGCAGAGGGGCAGACTGAGACAAGGTCTCTCTTTTTCCATCTGCCCTGATGTGGATTTAATGCAAAATGCTGTACTGACATAGAAGCCGGGGTACTGGGAGGAGTTTTTGCTTGGGTGGAAGTTTTGGTGTCCCATTTCAGAGCTGCCTTTGCTTTCTCTCCTCCACTGCCGGGGACCTTCGGTGTCTCACGGCAGCAGCAGAGGAATGTGTCTCCTTTGACATCCTTCCACAGGTGCCAGCTGGCTGAAGTTGAGGATGCAGGGGGAGAAGAACGACAGTCACAGGAGCATCCCCTCAAAAGGGACACTTTGCAAAACCGTAGGAACAGATGCGTCGTAGTGTCTTACCACTTTCATTTTCTTGGGGGGGGGGTTAAAGGAAAGGGTCTCTCTTACCCTCAGAGAGGGTGCTTTATGGCTTCCTAATGCACTCAGGTAGGTTACCCAAGCGGTGAGCGTTAGATAACCCTGCTACCGTTGCCACCAGAGCCCGAAACAGGCCAAGAGCCCAGCTTTCTGGCTCCACGTGCCCTCCCCGTGCTGCTGCTCTTCCAGATCCCGGACCCGACACAGCTGTGCGGAGCTGCCAGGTCAGCCAACCACCACTGTCCCAGGGAGCGATGGCAGCTGCTCCCGAGGCAGCGATAATGCTGTAGGGCTGTCCCATATTGCCCCCGCACGCACACACCCCAGTTCCTCTCCCTCCCCGGGTGCTGGGATGCCCATCGCGCACCCCGCCCTGGGCTCCTGGCAGGCTGGCCAGTTCCCCGTGTTACAGGGTGGGGAGGGAAGATGTTCGGAGTGCCTGGAGCTATTCAGTTACCAATGGTTGTGTTTGAAGAGCTTCCCTATCGCCCTTTTGTTAAAGCTTTGGCTTCCCCCCCATAGCCTCAACAGATGAAATCAAAGGGAAGTAGCTTTGCTTGGTGTAACCTGTTTTGATCAAGCAGATAAACGGGGAACAAGTGTCTGACACAAACAAACAGACAGACAGAGGCAAGTCCCACCTCAGCATTTCGTTGCATCAGATACGGAGGGCTTAGATAAACCACAAGAAGGGGGAGATCTCTGCCTCTCGGCTTGAAGACCAGGGGCGACACTCTGCAGTGCCAAGCCCCCACAGTTCCCATAAAAAAAATCAACCCAGAACTTGCTGGCATGGCTTTCATCAGTTTAAAAAGATGAAAAGAGCTTACAGCCAAGCATAAAACTCACGCTTGTCATTACCCCCCATGGAGTCAGCGGGACTGCCTACGAGCTCAGCCACAGCCGCCGCACGCCAAGTGTTCAGCCTCGCTGGCATCGCACAGGAACGGGGAAAGAGGACCCTCAGACCTGAGAGACGGCCCGGTGCTCGGCCCAGGGCTGACCTCCACAGCTCCCGAGCGACGTGGGAAGGCAGTCCAAGCACTGCCCTCGTGGGACAAACTCGTGCCTGTTCCCTCTTCCCCCCTCACACACCTACTGTCATAACGATGGCAAAGTTAAAGTACAGGAGGGCTTAAGATTCAAAGGACTGGGTAGGGTAGGCGATACTCCTTAGAATTTTGTTGGGTTGTTTGTTTTTTTTTAAATCATGAATTCCTGTAAAATGGCAAAATTTCACTACAGCCAGTAGGCATGGGAGAGCATGTGTGAAATCAAACAAACATGGGTTTTTGGAGAACATCTTACTAAAAGCTTGGAAGCATTTTCTATGAAATTGCTGTGGATGAAAAAGCTTAGCTTTCCTAATGTCCTATGAAAGATGAACAATTCTGACAATTTTCTCAAAAAAGAAAATGTCCCACAATTATTTTAAACATGTTCAAAGTAAAACAATACCCCAAATTACCCTTTTTTTCCCCTCTAAGCCCAGAACTGGCGGAGATATGAAAGAACGAGATTATGCTTCTGCTACTGACACTTTAGGCAGTATGATGATCCCATCAGATCTTTAGGCATCAGTTTTAGATCAAGGGCTTGGTTTACAAAAACATTTTGGCACCCAACTCCCTCCAGTATTTTTTTTTTTCTTTTTTAAATTCATCTTGGAGCCAGGCTGCATCTTTTGGTGATGAAAGGCCTTTGTAAATCTGCACCCAGAAGGATTTCCATCCTTTCTAAGCTATAATATTGTTAGTTGGTAACTGCCTTCTCCTTTGGGGGGGGAGGGGGTAACAAGATTCCTGGGGAGCTGTGTAGATTGGTCCAATTCATTAGGAAATGGGTCTTCTATTAATGAGTCATTGGAAAACAGATTTTCCCCACATGAAGCTAGTAAACAAAACACCGAACTATTAGGTGTTGCAGTAAATATTCCTCTAGCAATGTGTATAAGGGAAAATAAAAACTTCCAGGGAAGTTCAGTACAAAGAGCTTTGTTGTTTATAAACAGAATGGTCAGAAAGAGAAGGGAAAAAAAAATCAAACAAAACCGACAAAGACGTGTAGAGGCTTTAGGTAAAGCATCCAGGCAGCCCCCTCCGTGGGCTTGCCTGGTCAGGATTGCCAGTGGGCTGACATGCCAGGCTACACCGCCTGAAGCACAGCATACAGTGCTGAGCAGTGGTGTGCGGTCCTGCTCTGGCCACCCTCTTCTCCCAGAGTCCTGCAAGGGACCGGTCACCCCGCAGGAGGGGTCCCGGCTGTCTGCTGGAGTCCTGCAAGAAGCTCCTGACTCACTGCAGTGTTGCTCATCACAGCTAAGTCTGACATGGTGATCTCTGAAGATCCTGAACAGATCAACCAGTCACAGGTTGCATTAGAAAAAAAGAATAATTTAAACAGGTTCCTTGTATCAGTCCGCAGGGAAGTGCCACTCTTGCAAATGAAGGAGATTTACTTGTTCTTATTTCCCTGCTTGATTTGAAGGCTCCTAGAGCAGGGCTAATGCTGCTGCAAACATTTTTGTTGTTTTAAAACAAATTGGCTTCACTTCTCTGCTTTCTTTTCTCAATTACCACTAGAAAGAGGTGCTACAGCTAACGCTAATGGCTGCCTGGGAAGCTTAAGCTGAAAACCATATTTTACCCAATCAGCTGTGGTGCCAGCTTCTCGCCTGGTTAACACTATTGACTACGACAGTGGCAGCCAGAGCGACATTTAGTGACAGCCAATACCAAAACCAAGTACCGACTCTCCTAATAACACAGCCGCCCCTAATCTTGATTCAGCTCTGTTATCCATCAGCTCTGTGTGCCAAGATGCAGGAAACATTTCTGGAGACTCTGGTTCCCAATTTAAGGCCCTGTAACAGCTACCAGGGTTTTTTTGTTTGGTTTTTTTTTTGGTTTTTTTTTTTTGTTTTTTGAAAGAGCTTGAAAGCTGGGGACAAGTTTGTTGCTGGGTGGCTTGGAAACATTTATCTCAAAGAGCAACTTGGGCTCATCTGAAAGCCCTGAGCAGAAGCTGACCTGACCAAAGTCAATCAGAGTTCACGGACGTGAATAGAACCAGATTTTACCTCTACATTAGATTATGTCAAATAACCCAGCTTAACAGCTAAGAGCACAGAGGATTTCTAGTCTTCAACATACGGTGTAAATAAAGGGGTAGTTTTAGGCCTATTAAAACACGCATAGGCTGCTCCAGCTTTACCAAGACCTCGCTTTTTTCTAAGTCCTCTCGAATGACAAAAGTAAAAGTGAAACAGTAAAATCAGTCCATGCAAAATTTTAATCTGCTGTCACACCTCCCCCCCACCCCAAGTTTAGGGCTCTTCATTACTCAAAGAACAACGATTCTTCCACACTGCCTCTATCAGTTTGAGTTTTAAAAGGTGTTTATTTCTAAGTCTATAGGTGAGCCTCACGGTTTCTAATAATCATAATTTGTTACACCTAGTGGGTGCTACAAATGTTTCTTATTGCTGTTTATTTGCCTAAAAAAGAATCTGACCACGAGCCTTTGTGAAATTACAGCCTCAAGGTCTTGAATTCAAAGCCCACTGCAGGCAGTGGCAGTCAGAAGCGATGCCAGAAAATTCCAAACTGATTTTTCTGGTGTCTATCACACCTTGTGGCAGTGCAGGAGTTGGTGGGTAACCAGGCAGCAATCAGTGCTAACACCAGTGCTATCATCTTCAAAGGATGTTCTGCAACCCTGTTCTTCAGCTTCCCATATTCAAGGAAAACTGCGGCTTCTAGCCACGGAGTAGTGACAGTCTGAGCAGCCGTCAGGTGGGAGTAGTGGAGATGGGATGAAGATGAAGATGCAAGAGCAATCAAGATGAAGAGCAATAAATTTTTGCTGGAACTACATAGCTGGATTTGGTTATTTCTGAAGTCGCTCCCATTTTGCTACATATACATGGCCAAAAAAGGCTTAGTCCCCAGGAGTTCTGTCTAAGGAAACGTTCCTGACACGAACCCTACGTGAAATGAAGGGCTGTTTGTGCTAAACTGAGCGGACCAAGACTATTTCAGTTGCATTGTTCCTTTGGCCAGGTGTGAGGGTATTTCCGTGCTAAACCCTCAGAGGACATTAGTGAGAAACACACTGATTCACTGCCGTTACAGAAGGATCTTGCATGCTGATCAAGCTACGAATGCAATCCTAGCCCAGAGCGCATTCTTGATCAACTCCCAGGCTGGCTGGAAGAACGCAATGTAGCAGCAACAGGAGTCAAGCAGAGCACAGACAGAAACTTCCAGCACCCACGTCCCCCTTTTCTTTTCTTTCCCCTCCCTCCTCGGGCTCCCTCGCCTGCCCCCCATGTCCCAGACCCTCCTTACCTGGCTCCACCTGGTCGGGTTCGTGCCGAGTATCTGTGGAATCTGCCGCATCACCGCTCATCTTGATCTCTGGAAAAGGAGGCACAACTGATTTTAATAACAGGTCACAGTCCCAGGCAACAGGCACATGTGGCTTCCACTAAACAGCACAAATGAATGTGTAATTATAATAAACCATCAGACTTTCAAATTTCTGATTCCTCAACATACAGTCACTAGAATATTCATCAGCTCCGAGGATGCACTTTCCCTCCTGTTGCTCTGTGCATCCCCCTCATTCCTTTCCCCCTCCCCAATTTGCCGCTGTGTTCTCACCTTTCGCATCATTCCTCTCCCGCACAGAGGACGAGGGGCTGTTTAACCACCGGGAGCCCTCCCAGCCCAGCGGCCTCTCCCCCGAGCTTTGTGCAGGCTTCCCAAAACAGCTGGCGTGGCTCTCCGCTTGACACTGTCCCCCACCACACCTTTAGAGGCTGGGGATCCCTCCCAGCTTCCCCCCGCTCTCCCCCAGCCTTTCCTCGTCCCTCGAGACGGCTCGGCCGGGGCCGGTGCTTGGTGCGGCACAAAGCGCACGCAGGGAGGACCGGCCTCAGAAAGGCACGTACAGAGCAAGATGCTCTCAGAGGGGGAAGCAAAGTCCCTCTTCTCCTCTCACTCCGCTGTGAACTCAGCTTGTTTCTCTCAACACGTCTCATCCCTATTTGCAAACTATTTGCCCTGCTCCCTCCTACACGCACGTGCTCACACCCCTGTGAACCACGAGGAGCTGCCTCGCTCCAAAGCACCGTCCCCAACCCGGGAGCACGGAGAGTACTTTGCCATCAAGCTCCTGCATATTTTCCCTCCGTCCTTATCAATGCCAACAAATTTGTCATTTACCCTTGAAGTGATGGCTGCCACCACACCCGGGGCCACGTTCTCCTTCGGGGACAGCTGAAAGAAAAGGAGGCAATAATCAACTTTACACTGGATTGCTCATCTCCTCCTTAAAAGAGACGAAGTACACACTGAGTGAAAGAAGGAAGAATATCTATTCAAATTCAGATGGACACCCCCCTCATGCTCTTCTCCCCTTTGCATGGGAATTTTAACTCTTTCCAGGCTAGCTGGGGAAAAAAAAGATAATAATTTTTTATAAAGGACCAACTGATTTGCATGTCCTTCCTGCAGCCAATCCCGGCCACAGAAGTCATCCAATTTGCATCGGGCAATAACAACTGCGTGGAAGCTGGGCCGGTGTTTGCTGTGGTTTTGCTGGGGCAGAAAAGGCAGGTGGAAGCCTTCTTAAAGGCATCACGCAAACCTTTTCCTCTTTCCTATACATGCCTTGCGTTACGGCCAAACGGGTGAGAAGAAGCCTATAGGTTTTTATGCCTATTTCCCTCTATTACACTAAAAAAGCTGGGGCTTTTTATTTATTTGTTCAGGTTTTCTTTCCCCCTATTCAAACTTCTAGTGTGCAAATGGCAAATTATCTGCTTTTTGGCCCAAATTTAACAGCTTTTTTTTCCAGTGAAAGTTTGAAGCTTTTTCTTCAGCAAATGAATAAGAGAAGGAAAAAAAAGTCAAGATTTTATACCAGAGACAGAGTGCAGAAACACTCACGTACTTCAGAAACTTTCTTTCTTTAAATTGCATTAAGGATTGAGGGGGAAAAAGAAGAGAGAAAAGACTTGTGGGATTTTTTTTTCCCCCCCTTCAAATAAACCCTCTGCAATTAAGACATGAACATTTAGTGGGGCTTCTAAGCATTTCTACTGCAGGAAGAGTAATTATCATCAGCTACAAACATCATCTTCTCTTGTAATACTGCCAAGGGACCCTAACTTAGGCAATCTACAAAGCATAAAGTTTTGCTTGCTGCCAAAAAGTATCTCTTAAAAAAAAAAAAAAGCCAAGTTCTCATAAAATAGAGTAATAAAATTCTTAAACCATGCAGAAGTTTGGGGCTTGCTTTAGTGAGAAAGTCTGCAAGTTTGCAAAAAAAAAAAAGTAATGCAGGTTTCGTTGTGAGCACAGAAATAATGAATGAACACACATTGGTGAAAGAAAATTATCTAATCCCTGAGACCAAGGAGCCCCTCACGGGCACAGAGCAAGCGACAGAGCAAGCAACAGAGCAGCTCAGACAGAGCTGGAGAAGAGAAGACGCAAAAACAAACCATAAGAAGGTGTCTCCCTTTTCCAGGAGTTAACCCCTCTGCCATTTGTAACCTGGGGTGGGCGGGAGGGAAGGGAGGAATTGCAGCTGTGGCTTACATATCATATATCACATGCCATCCATCAGCTAAATTCCCTCCTCCTGGAGTCAGGAGATAACAAGATACCCTGTGATTCTCTTATACATAGAGCAGAAGAATTTTATTTTCACAAAGATTTACATTCCTATCATAAATATAATAAAAGTTTAAACATCTGGCTGGGGGCAGGGAAGAACAACCCAGGAAGAAAAAAAAGCCCCCTTTATGATGGAAACCTACTGAGTGGTTTGGGGCTGACCACCTATTGTATGCCTATGGACAGCAGTGCAGCACAGGTCATCCTCCAAGGGGTCCTTGAGAACAAGGAGTAGACGTACAGAGAAATTACTTTCTAATACAAGTGCAGCCAAGATAAAGGCAACACCTTTTTATTGACATCCAACAATATTCCACTATAAACCAGGACAGAGTGATGCATCTGAGCACAGACCCCCATCTGACAAAACATCTCAAGAAAAAACAGGCTGTGAGACTTTGGGTCCGGCTCAATGTAGGCTCCACCATACAGCTTTGCTAGGCTGGCAATATATGGAGAATCAGCAGGGTAGTAAAAAAAAATCTCTGGGAAAAGTAATGCAACTTAGGACTGCCTAACTCCTAACCACAGACCTATTAGGAGCCGCCACTGCGGCCTGGGCCATATTAAAAATGTGCTGCTCTACCTCGGCTAGCAAACATACCTGGAGTAGGGGCAGTCTGGTTTGTTCACCCAGACCAAAGAAAGTATACTAGTGCAGACACTTCTCTGGGGATATATCTGCATCTATATTTTTGCTGAAACAAATGGTGTCAGCAAATAAAGCTTTCCCAAGCCCTTATTCCTAGTAGTTGTTCAGACATAGGCACTAGGGTAAACCAGCCTGATGACTTTAAAAGGCAAAATGAAAGCCGGCGGTGGTAGTGGGAACTGAGCTTGGCGCAGACCATTACCTGGATCCTATCGGATTTTCTGTGCTTGAGGTGCCAGAGCCCCTCTGAAGGCTCCAGGAAGGTGAAATATCCAAATGCCCGGGGAGCGGGCGGTGGTACACGCCAGGGAACGCGCTGCTGCAGGGAAACCCTCTCGGCAGGGAGGAGGGCGTGCGGAGCCTGAGCAGCCCACCTGCGCTCTGCATGCTGTGTCTTCTCTGCACGGCCAGGGAAGAAACAGAGCACAGCCTGCAAGCAGCTTGCTGCAAGGCCTCGCTGTTCGGGAACCCCAAACCCGAACATTCTGAACTGCCTTTGCACCAGGGTGAAGAAACACCCTCCCACCAGCGTTGGGCTCTGGCACGTGAAAGCGGTCGGGCCCAGGCTGGCATCCCTCCCTGCAAAACGACTGCTTAAAGCTTAGCCCCTTCTGACAGACAGCAGGGTGGGATGATTTGGGAGAATGGAAGTTCAGCGCGCACCCAGCTCTGCTCAGCTCCTGGCCAAATCCACCCTGGGAGTGATGCCACTGGCTTTGACAGAGGGCACAGTATCAATTTGGGGAATCTTCTCATGAAGAAAGAGTCGCCCACAAGCAAAGCAGATGGGTGGATAGGAGCCTGCGGGGGATGCGTCCCCGAGAGACACCACACACAAGCACACCCATTGCAGGTGCTCAGACTAGTTAGGCTCACACGCTGAGCCAAGACCACGAGCCTCCCGCAGCCTCTCCTCATGGCCGGCCGTGCAGCGCCGGGGGCTCCCCCCACACCCCCCCCC